ATATATATACACACACACACACACACAAATTATCAGAGCTAATAAATGACATCAACAAAGTTGCAAGAGACAAGATCAACACATAAAAATAAGTTGTATTTCTATACACTAGCAATGAACTATCTGAAAAGGAAAATAAGAAAACAATTCCATTTACAATAGCATAAGAAATATTAAAATACTTAAGAACTTCAGCTCAGCTGATGTGGCTCAGTGGTTGAGAATGGACCTATAAACCAGGAGGTCATGGTTCCATTCCCAGTCAGGGCACATGTCAGGGTTGCAGCCTCAATCCCCAGTGGGGGGCAGCCGATCAGTGATTCTCATCATTGATGTTTCTATCTCTCTCCTTCTCCCTTCCTCTCTGAAATCAATTTAAAAAAAAAGAAAGAATAAGTTTAACCAAGGAGGTAGAAGACTTGTACACTAAAAACTAAAAAGTATTGTTGAAAGAAGTTAAAGAAGACCTAAATAAATGGAAAGACATCCCATGTTCATGGATTGAAGACTTAATATTGTTAAGATGGCAGTACTCCTCCAGTTGATCTACAAATTCAATGTAATTTCAATCAAAATGTCAGTTGGTATTTTTTGCAGAAAGGACAAGCTGATTATAAAATTCACTTAGAATTGCAAGAGATCTCAAATAGCCAAAACAGTCTTGTAAAAGAAGAATAAAGTTAGAGGATTTACTTCCTGATTTCAAAACTTACTATGAAGCTAAAATAATTCATAAGGATAGACAAATTAATTTAATCCAATGTAATGAAGAAGTCTCTGTTGATTAGTGAAATTATATGCTTCAAATTAAAGTATTAGTTGAAGGATGCTGAAATGGTATGATTTGCATTTTCCAAATGAAAGATCTGTCTTGTCCCCAATGAAAAAAAATTTTTAAAAATATGTTTTAATTGATTTTAGAGAGAGAGGAAGGGAGAGGGAGAGAGAGAGAAACATCAATAGATTGATCAATTGGCTGCCTTCTGCATGCCCCTTACTGGGGATCAAGCCCACAACCTGGGCATGTGCCCTGACCTGGAATCAAACCCATGACTTCTTGGTGCATGGGATGATGCTCAACCAAATGAGCCATACCAGGCAGGGCTTGTCTCCAATTTTTTGTTGCTATCTTGCCATCACTTTTGTTCCATGCTCACCTTGTACTTTTATTAATAATTTCTCCCCTATTGTAATGCAAGTCATATATGTAACATAAATTTTCTGGTAGCCACATTTAAGAAGTAAAAAAATATATGCAGTTAACTTGAATAACACATTTTATTTAGCTATATTCAACATATTAATATGTTTTAAAATATATTCAACATTAAAAATAAATTGTTAATGAAGTATTTTATATTCTTTTAAGTCTTCAAAATTCAGTATGCGTTTTACACTGACATACACTGACTGATGTGCATCTCAGTTTGGACTAGACACATTTCAAGTGCTCAGTAACTACATGAGGCCAGTGACCACAATACTGGACAACCTATGCTTAGATAATCAGAACTAGGACGTCTCTATAAGAGAAATGAACTAGTTATTTCTGGGAATAGAAAGGAAATTTTCTGTTTCTCCTTCTTTTTGTCCCCAAACAAGTTATTTTATTAGCCAGCCTTTGTCTTAAAGGATATAAAGAGAAATCTGTGTTTTGGTGGGGTGAAGAAAAGGGAAAGTTGGAGTCAGCATGGATGTGACAGGTGAGAGGAGGATTGTAGGAGGAAAGGGATTTTGCAGTGCCATTGTTGATAAGGCCAAGAGAGGATGGGGCAGCACAAAGAGGAAATATCAGTGTAAGTAGTGAAAAAAGACTAGTCCTGGAATATGTTTCTGAGTTGAATTGGAAAGGTGCCTAACTGGCCATGTGATATTCTTGTCAAACATCACACTTTCCTATACCTCCATTATCCATTTGATGGATATTACAAAGTACATAGTGACTAAGAGCAGGCATGACCACTAGAGTATATAGTCCCTTGAATAACTGTTAAATAATTCTTTATATATCTTCTTTTCTCCCCTCTTTCACAAAAGGAAAATACAGGATAACATCAGAATGAATATAGAAGTAAAAGAAAGTAAAGGGAGGGAAAGAAAGATAGAAAAAGAAAAAATGTGCAAATAAGACATTAAGACTATACCAGTATGCCCCTAATAAATTGAAATATTGATGGAAGTTGTTTTTA